GATTTGGGCCCAAGCATTTGTATTATCAGTTTGGACAAATAGTCTGTCATAGGACTACTGGTGAAGTTCAATGACAATATACGGCATCCTCGTGCTTTGCACAATTTACTGAAAGGGCGTCATTTTATTCATTGAATCAGGTAAAACCAAGAGTTAAGTTAGAACAAAGGAGTAAAATTAGCATACATTTATGCGAAGAAGTTATCACAAAGCAAACTTTAGCTTTATGTTGGCTGACGCAGGTCTTCACAGCTGTACTGAATAGACTTTCGGGCTTTGCATGTACGACATAATATGTTCCGGAGGCAGGAGAACTGCGGCAGGTCGATCTGGCAATCAGCGCTGCCGTCGAGGACTCATGTTGCTTTCTTTTGCCAAGACCTACGTACTCGCACGTGACACCCTCCGCATAAGTGCATGACTCGATCTCCGGCTTGCGACGATGTGACTCAGGTAAATATTTCTCTGGTCTTCGGTTGGTCCCAGGGGCTCAAACCTCGCGTCCTAACGACCGATACAAAACGACTGACACGGCTGACGACAGAACTTGCCTGAATATACAACTGGTTGTAACTACTTAAAAATAACTCTTGCACGCTAGTCTTACGATCTCGAATCAAAAGCGCTGTCCTTTTAAGCAAACAGTCAGCTTAAAGCAATGTTCTTTTTAGTCTGCCTCATAGCTTCATATATATATATATATATGTATCACTTTTTATTCTCTACAGAACCAGCTGAAAAGGCAGCAGACGTGGACGTTTGCAAACTGCCGCAAGACACCGGTCCATGCAGGGCCCTGCTTCCGCGTTTCGCCTACAACGACACGATCAAAGCCTGCGTGCCCTTCACTTATGGTGGTTGTCAGGGAAATGGAAATAACTTCGAAACCAAAGAGGAGTGTGAGGAAAAATGCATGGGTGTGTTTAAGTTCGTTGGCCTAGCACATTTGTCGCCTTGTTTTTACTGTGGATGTCTAAAGGGTGGCCACCCTCTGGGACCCTCTACAGTTCACTTAAAATTTGTCTGCTTGCAATTGACACTACCTTTCCCTGTCATATCCTGAGCAAATCATGCAACAATCAGATCGAAGGGATTATATTTTTTTCTGTCTTTTATTCGTTTATATATACTTGTCCATTGAATCTTGCACATACACGTTTTTCTTTCTTCAGCCCCGAGTGTTGACCCATGCAAGCAACCCATCAAAGTGGGACCATGTCTGGCCCTGATTCCGCGCTATGCGTTTGATTCAGCAGCTGGCGAGTGTGTTGAATTTATGTATGGTGGCTGCAACCCAAACGACAACAACTTTGAAACTCTCGAAGCATGCCAAGCGAAATGTCCAGGTTCGAACATTCTGTAGAGCCCGTGTTTGACTGCAATATTTGTGAAACCACATCCTGTCTACTGCCAGTATCGAAACTTAATATATTCTAAATCCATCCGAGAGTCCCACACGCTCCGCAATCGAAGCTTTGTTCTAAACGTTGATTCCGCGACCCGCAGACCAGACATGAGTTTTAAACTTATGTCTTAATTGTTATTTCAGAGCATAGCAATAACCTTATTGTACTTTGTTCTCGACGAGGTAGTTAAGAGTATAGTTCGGCTTGCTTTATATTTAGGTGTTTTAAGATAGATATATTTTTGTCGTCCATATGTATGTAAATTTCAAATCTCTCTGGACTCTTTGGGCCCTAAAAGACTAACGCTCGAACCATTGGTGATAATATACGAGGCAAAACGTTTGAGGATTTTAGAAATATTTTCAAACAGGGTACAAATCTTAGAAGCAACAATATGTACCTTCACCAAACGAAAACTTTAATTCTTGCTAGTACTATTGAAAATGCGAATTCTAACAGTGCAAGTCTATGCACACGATTAACTCAAATTCCGTACGTGGATTTAAAAAAAACATTTGTTATTCATTGTTTGCAGGAAAAACTGTCAAGGCAGCAGCAACTGACCTTTGCGAACTGCCGCAAGATACTGGTCCATGCAGAGCAAGGTTTATACGTTACGCTTACGATGGCAAGGCCAAGGCCTGTGTGCCCTTCACTTATGGCGGTTGTCAGGGGAACGAAAATAACTTCGAAACCAAAGAAGGGTGCGAGGAAAAATGCATGGGTACGTCTGCATGGGTTGGCCTGATCTATCTGTATCCTCGTTTTTACTGCAGATGCCAAAGGTACGGCAGAATCGAATGACCTTCCAACCCGAGTTACCTTTGCTCATATGTGGACGTCATAATAAGTGTCATTGCTCAAAAATGTTATTTGGAAACAACTAGCCTCTTACCTGGAACAAGATGGATAGAATGTGGAAAGAAACAGTACAACGGTAGCCAAGTTTTGCTCCATCGCACCAACCGGTGATGAAACATAATGGTCATACAAACTAACGCATTTGACCTTTAGTTAACTTATCCTAAACAATAGCAAAAAACGGGCCCTATGCTGAGCCCCATCTGATTGACTGAGTAATTTTGACAAAACCGACTTGTAGGACCACCTAAATATATATTTTCCCCGCCCAATTGCCTGACGTATTTTGTGGTCAAACCCTTACTTCTTGGAAAGTGAGTGTAAATGAATATTTAATTGTGGCGGAAGTGGTCAAAAAGTATTAAATTAAATAAGATAATGTTTGTTTTAAAATACTAAAATAGAATAAAATTCAATCAACATGAACTCAGATTGCGCAGGATAAGGATACCAATTGAGGTTCAACCTTATGTAGGTGGAATTTAACGAAACTGGAAATTCGACTTCCTACTGGTGGAATTTAACGAAAAAGGGAAAGTCTGATTACTGAAAATTTAAAAATCGTTTTTTATCATAATTCGACGGGGTTTAGAGCCTCTAAAGTGAGTCCTGCTGTGATTTTAGTTCGTGTCATTTTCCCTTATCGTGTAATTTAGTTCAATCGAACAGGTAAAACTACAACTGACTTGTTTCTGGAAAAATATTATCTGCATAATCTTATGAAGGTTTCAAGGAATGAAAAAAACCACAATGTTAGTAGATGCGTGCAAGCAGGTACGTGTTATTGAGATATCTGGGATTTTATTAAACGCATTCATATGGCTTTGGTGTCAAAAGTATAGCAGGGAAATGTGATGTTTAAAAACGATTATTTTAAACGAAATTTGTTGAATCCTTATTTTACCCCAAAGTCGGCATGTTATTTTCCTCTCTTCGCTAAACGCTCACCGATCACCAACCGGACTCACGCATTCCGCTCTGCTTTGAGTCTCAGTCTCGAGTTCCTCCCCCCCGGCAGCCGCACAGCGGCTAGTAGTGTAGGCAGATGAACATCGCCGGCAAAAACAAAAGAGACTCGAACGGCCATTTTGGCTGATTAGTCGTCATCAGTCACAGCAGATGCACCAACCGAAAGGCGAACCTGCAACCTGTTAATCTAGAAGTACGACGCTCTAGCCATTGGGCCGTTTTCCATTCTCAGCAGGTGAAAAGGCAGCAGGAATTGACGTTTGCGAACTCCCGCAAGACGCCGGTCCATGCCTGGCCAGGATACGACGATTTGCCTACGATTACACGAGTAAGACTTGCGTGCCCTTCTATTACGGTGGCTGTCAGGGAAATGGAAATAACTTCGAAAGCAAAGAAGAGTGCGAGGAAAAATGTGCAGAAAGTCTTAATAAGGCGGCCTGTGAGTTTGTCTATTTGTACCGTCATAAACGTGCAGTCAAATTAATGACCATTTTGCTCCCGCTG